ACGAGTCTCGTTCTACTGTCACTTTTTAAAGTACAGTATAATATGTAGCTTTTTAACTATATAACAGAGGAGCCAGAAAACTGAGTGTTTGAACCTAGAATTCGAAATATTTGTAAACATCTCATGTTAGTATCTTTAAGTTTACAATTGTGAAAACAACTTCCTTATTATCTTTAAAGCAAATGTTTTCTTTGTAGCAATATTCCGGGTTTTAAAATGTTTTTATTGGGGGTTGGGGATGGGGTTCACCTGTAAAAGCGGACACATCACTTGTCCGACCAACACAAATAAAAAAAGATGTTGCAGCACATTTGAAACTATCACCATACATACACGATGCGTGCTTATTTAATTGTGTGCTTGATAATGTCTGCCGTTTTCACTTTCAGATAAAGAAAACAACTGAAAATCTTTGTGAAGAAGGGGGTACATAAGGCGGAGAGTAGTCGACGCCACGCTTGTTTGTCCCGGGCCCCTTTCTCCATTTTCGACACATCTATAAGGCCTCGTCTCTTATTGTGCCTCTATAGCTTAAGAAGGAAGTTACGCTTTTGTTTTTTAAAGTGACCCACAACAGTGCATCCTTAAGCTTTGCTGAATGACCAGAATGCACTTCTTTCAGTGAGTTAAATTGACAAACCACTAAATTTTCCATTCATTTTTTTCCTCTGGTCACGGTGAGAAGTGGCCTTGTTTACAGTGTGATATACGGGCATTTATGGACAAATCACTAAAGCCCTCCCCTTCTACGCACATGCGTCTCGTTTCTTCGTTCTTTTGAAGCCTTTTGTTTTAGTAGTAACATGAACGCCCGACCGCAAATATTGTCAGAATTGTCCAAGACGTTTACCCATTGTCGAAGGAAAAGTGATTGCCTAGACAGGTGGATGTCTTGGACTGTAATTATAATGTAAAATGACGCAGGAGGGGAAGAAGGAAGTAGTTGTTTATACAGGTGATTGTCTTGTACAGGTGGCCATTAGACCAGGTTCATCTGCAGCCTACATGTGCACACAGTGTGTGATTTTGAGGCCACATTTGCAAGCACATATACATGTGTATAATGGTTTTCAAGGTTCAAAGTTGAAGCAGCTTCCGCTGTGGGATGACGTGTTAAACAAAAACATAGCCTCTAACAAAAATACATAGGCCTACGGTCGAACCTTTTCCAACAGCCTCCTGTTTAGACAATCGCCTGTACAAACGGCCACTTCCTATTTCCTCCCTTGCGTGTTTTGTTTTGTTTTGTTGTTGTTTTGCTGTTGTTATTGTTGTTTTGTTTTGGGTTGGGTTTTTTGTTGTTTTTTTTACATTACAATGACGCTGCACTGGACGACCACCTGTCTAAAACAACCTCTTTTCTCCTCGACAATGGGTGGCCATCTAAGACAATTTCGACCGTAGTTAGTTGCAAGTGTTCCCTCTCGTCTGTTGCGCCAAACGTTGTATTGCAGATGTCATGTTAAAATGACGCGGTGAATCTCGAAACAGGACAGATTTAGTCGAGTGGTCATGGGAGGGAAGGCAAAAATTAAGCACAAAGTCAGAATACAGATGGCCATCCTCAACATACTGTGCGGAGATAGAAAATGTAACACGAAGGTCTAGTTGCATAAAAAGGTAGACCTTAATATAAAGCACAAAGCGCACAAGCAGACGAGCAATGAGAGAGATTTATAAAGAGAGAGGAAGACATAAAGGGGGGCGGGGGTAGGGTGATGAAAATAGGCCAGGTGTGAAGTCTCAAACCACGCACACACAATATTGTGATACGAAAGCGTGAAAAAAATTTCAAAACAGAAAGAAATGCTTCAAAACTTCAGCCGACCATAGATGCGAGCATAGAGACAGTGTTGCTATATGAAGAAAATGTAAATCAAAGAGAAACATTCAAATTTTAAAAAATGAAGCGGGGAGAGATGGGTGTCTGAATGTGGGGGTGGGGTGGAGGTTTGGGGG